AGAACCTTTGATTATGCTCATGTACAGGGACGTACTACTCAATCAAGAGCTAGTCCAAGAAGTTCATGCCGAAGCAAGAGTGGTGTTGGATGAGTTCGAGGATGTGTTTCCAGAGGAAGCATCGAAGGGGCTGCCTCCTATTCGCGGAATTGAGCACCAGATTGATTTCGTGCCGAGAGCTCAAGTTCCAAACAAGGCAGCATATCGAGCTAATCTAGAAGAGACCAAAGAGTTGCAAAGGCAGATTGACGAGCTCATGGAGAAGGGGCATGTTCGAGAAAGTTTGAGTCCGTGTGCAGTTCCGGTGATTCTAGAGCCAAAGAAGGATCACACCTCGCGGATGTGTGTAGAATGTCGAGCCATCAATCAAATTACAGTTAAGTATCGTCATCCAATTCCACGATTAGATGATATGCTTGATAAATTTCATGGCTCTACGGTGTTTTCCAAGATTGATTTGAGATAGGTTACCACCAAATTCGAATGAAGGAGGGAGACGAGTGGAAGACTGCGTTTAAGACCAAGCAGGGTCTATACGAATGGATGGTGATGCCCTTTGGTTTAACCAATGCTCCTAGCACGTTCATGAGGCGGATGAACCACGTTTTGAGGCCATTCATTGGCAAGTTCGTGGTCGTATACTTCGACGATATTCTGATCTACTCGAGGTGCATGGAGAATCATCTCAATCACTTGAGAGAGGTGTTGGTGATGTTGAGAAAGGATAGACTGTATGCTAACCTCAAGAAGTGCTCGTTTTGCACATCTAGTGTTATTTTCCTTGGTTTTGTGGTGCGTACAGATGGAGTCAAGGAGGACGAAGAGAAAGTGAAAGCAATTTGCAATTGGCCTATTCCAACCAACGTGAATGAGGTGCGGAGCTTTCATGGGCTTGCTGGGTTCTATCATCGATTTGTGCCCAATTTCAGCACCATTGCCGCACCATTGACTTCCATCATCAACAAGAACGTGATGTTCTATTGGGGAGAGGAGCAGACCAGAGCATTCGAGCTACTCAAGCACAAGCTCACACGCGCACCTGTCTTGATGTTTCCAGATTTCAATAAGACATTCGAGGTGGAGTGTGATGCTTCTGGTTTGGGAATTGGAGCAGTGTTGATGCAGGAGAAGAAGCCGATTGCTTACTTCAGCGAGAAGTTGAGTGGGGCTGCCCTCAACTATCCTACGTACAACAAGGAGCTCTATGCTCTAGTTCGAGCCTTGGAGATGTGACAACACTATCTATGGCCGAAGGAGTTTGTGATTCATACAGATCATGAATCATTGAAGTATTTGAAAACTCAACACAAGCTGGACAAGAGACATGCTCGATGGGTTGAGTTCATTGAGTCCTTTCCATACGTGATCAAGTACAAGCAGGGCAAAGAAAATGTAGTTGTTGATGCCCTATCTCGAAGGCATACACTGATCACTATGATGGGAGTAAGGTACTTGAGATTCGAGCATATTAAGGATCTCTACCTTGATGATGCTGATTTTGGAGAGATCTATAACAAGTGTGAGAAGCATGGAGATGGGAAGTTTTATCAGAGTGATGGTTATTTGTTTCGAGCTAGTCAGTTGTGTATTCCTCGAACATCACTTCGAGAGTTGTTGTTGAAAGAGGCTCATGAAGGAGGCTTAATGGCACATTTCGGTGTAGACAAGATGCTGAGTTGTCTACAAGAGCACTTCTATTGGCCGCACATGAAGGGAGACATGGAGAATCTGTGTGCGAGGTGTGTGGAATGCAAGCAGGCCAAGTCGAAGGTGCAATCATCTGGATTGTACACACCACAGCCGATTCCATATGCTCCATGGATCGACATCTCTATGGATTTTGTGCTTGGTTTGCCGCGGACAAGGAAGGGAAGAGATTCCATTTTTGTGGTGGTGGATCGATTCTCGAAGATGGCACACTTTATCCCGTGTCATAAAACGGATGATGCTATTAACGTGGATGATATGTTTTCCAGGGAAGTGGTGCGATTACATGGGATGCCACGTTCAATAGTATCCGATCGAGATACTAAGTTTCTGAGTTCCTTTTGGAAGACGTTGTGGAGCAAACTGGGACAAAGCTGTTGTCTCTGCCACATGTCATCCTCAAACCGGTGGGCAAACAGAGGTTGTCAATCTAACTCTGTCCCAGATGCTGCGAGCTGTGATCAAGAGCAACATCAAGGTTTGGGAGGACTGCCTTCCCCACGTGGAGTTTGCTTACAACAGGATGGTGCACTCGACGATGAAGTTCACTCCGTTTGAGCTCATGTATGGTTTCAATCCACTCACTCCTTTGGATTTGATGACATTACCTTTGAATGAGCAGGTCAATCTCGATGGAGCCAAGAAAGCTAAGTTCGTGAAGAGTTTACATGAGAAGGCGAGATTGAACATTGAGAGAAGGACGGAGTAGATCATGCGCAATGTGAACAAAAACAGGAAACCGAGGCACTTTGAAGTTGGCGACTGGGTGTGAGTGCATTTGAGGAAGGAGAGGTTTCCCCAGCAGAGGAAATCAAAGTTGATGCCCCAATGTGATGGTTCTTTTCAGGTGGTTTCGAAGATTGGAAGCAACGCCTACAAGATCGACTTGCAGGGAGAGTATGGAGTAAGTGCAAAGTTTAATGTTTTTGACCTTGCACCTTATTTGGATGGCAATTCGGATTTGAGGGAAAATCCTTTTGAAGAAGGAGGGGCTGATGAGGACATCAATGGGCCAGTCACACGTGCTAAGGCAAAGACGTTGAAGGAGAAGCTTGCGACATATTTGGAGAGCTACTTTGGAGACATGGACGTGGAGCTATTTCGAGGGAAGCCATATATGATGATTCGAGTGGAGGAAGAAGGAGGAAGTGCTGAAGAGAAGGCATATTGCAAGAAGTAGCCTTAACGGGTTTGCTTAACGGGTCCAGCCTTAACGGGTTTACTTAACGGGTCCAGTCTTAACAGTTTGGGCTTAACGGGTTTGCTAGGCTATTTCCGAGTTTTCATGTTTTAAAGTCGGTTTATGATTGGTTTTCCATGTTGGAGTCGGATTTGGGTTGTACTTTGCCTATTTAAAGGGCTAAACACGTTGGTTTGCCCTTAGACGATTATTATTGAATTTCAGAGGCTATTGCCGAGTTCCCTACGCGGAATTTGCCCTAATTACTCTATCGAGAAACTCCAGAGTGCTAGAGCGACTCTTATCAGCTAGGTATTCACCCTAGTTGTGGCGAGCTACCCATATCGATTGCCCTTTATTCCGAGTTGAATCTGTCCGATCGATTCATATATCGATTGCCCTTATTCACGGGTGAGTACTGTCCGATCGATTTCCGTCCTATCTGGTTCTGTTTGGTTCGAGAAGTTTGACCCTGCGCAACTTTGATTATATCAGGTAGTTTGATTTGTAATTTTATTTTAGCATGTTATACCATATGGTATGTTATGGTAATTAGATTTGTAAATTTTCTAATTGTATGGTAGTTAGATTTGTAATTTTCTTCAATATATTTTACCATGTGGTATTGTATAGTAGTTAGATTTGTAATTTTCTTCAACATATTTTACCATGATAGTAGAAAGTGATAATCATATTTATACTCGTAATTAGTGTCTTTAGCACTTAATTATTTAACGAAAAAATAATCATTCAATTTGAGTTGAAATTAGAACAGAGTTAGCTAGGGTTAAATTCATTTTTGTTGTAGACGGGAGAGAGAAGAAATAATATATTTTTTCTTTTAATAATAAAATAAAACAAAGAGTGATAGGGAGGGGAACCAGGGTGGGGTGGGGGAGTGGGATCCGCGTCTGGTTACATGTGCATAATCGGGCAGGTTCGGGTTGGAGAGTGAGAAAATCATGCCACTCATTACCCGCAATATTCGGGTTCGGATTTTACCCGTACCCACTAAAAGTCATTCGGGTTTGGGTTTTACCCTTCCCAATTAGGTCGAATTTGGGCGGATATCCTTGGTTACAGATATTTTTGCCATCTCTAAGAGCAGGTTACCAGTCTGATTAGCTGGAAGAACCCTCCACCCGGCTCGATTGCAGTAAATACAGATGGCTTGGTTATCCAAGCTTTGGGTTGTTCGACGGCGGGAGGAGTTTTACGGGGGAGTGATGGTCGGTTCATCAAGGCGTTTTCCATGAACCTGAGAGGTGGCTTGATTACCCATATTGAACTTGCATGCATTGCTAAGGGCTACAAATTGCGTGGGACACAAGCATTAGAAAAGTGAAGCTGCAAACGGATTCGGCAGCTGCGATTTCCATGCTGCAGTCTACAAGAGGACTCATCCGCATTTCACAATGATATCGACCATCCGCAGGCTACTGGCAATGGAATGGGAGGTTAGTATTGATCATGGCTACCGGGAAAGTATCTATGTAGCTGATTATATGACATCTGTTGGCCATTCTCTACCTGTTGGAGTGCACCTGTTTGACACTCCGAGTTTACCACTGAGTTATTGGTTGATGTATGATCTTCTTGGTGTTTAGATGCCCCACTCCATTAATATATAAGAGTTAGAGCACCCTCCTACCCTCTGTTTCTCACAAAAAAAAAAAAAAGACAAGTCAAATGATAGAATGCTAGATTATCCGTTTTCACAGAGCATTTACATCAGTTTTCATTGTTACAAACAACCGTCTAAAATTTGAACAACTTTATGACCATAAACAATGATGGTAATAACATATAAATCATTATTGATTAAGTTATACACAAAATATCAACGAAATCGACCAGATCATATCACATATTTACCAAGTTTCCCGTATGATTTCATCATTAGAGCACTAACTATGGAGCTATATTTCTCAAATCATTAATGGTTATAAGGGAAGGCACAATTGGTTATATTATCATATTCATATTCAGGCATCATATCATGACATTGTTTGCGACCTTGTGGGGGCCTCACCCCATTTTGCCTATACATTTGTCTCGCCTGCCTGAGAGTTGCTTTCTTGCTCTGTCTTCTTCACATATATAACTCTAACTAATAATTAGTCATGGTAGTAGTAGCATCATTTTCCCTTTCTCTCTTTATTATTCTGCAATTTACTACCCTTTCCTTTCTTGTTCCTCTCTTTGCCAAAACAAAGTGTTTGATATTTTCATCCTTCTTCCCTTCCTTTCCCAACCAAAATCAAACTCTCTCTCTCCCACCACTTTCCATTCCCATCACTCCTAAACCAACCACAAGTCTCCTCTGTCTCTCTTGCTCTGTTTTTGTGGTGGTGGCCGGAGATGGGGTTCTCGATGGCGGCGGATGGGTACGATGATGAACAAGAGTGCGACTACCTGTTCAAGGCGGTGATGATTGGGGACTCCGCCGTCGGGAAGTCGAACCTGCTGTCCCGATTCTCGAGGAACGAGTTCCGGGTCGACTCCAAGCCCACCATTGGCGTTGAGTTTGCTTACAGGGACGTCCGGGTCGGAGACAAGGTGATCAAAGCCCAAATTTGGGACACTGCCGGCCAAGAAAGGTCGCTCCCTTTAAAATTAGTCTCCTCTCTCTCTCTCTCTCTCTTTTTCATATGAGAATTTCTTATGTTAATTACTAGCTGTTATACATTCCACATCTCTCCCTATATAGACTTTGAATTTGAGTAACTTAAGAGATGATCAACTGCTGGATGTTTTCATTTTCATCATCATTCATGTGGAAAGTCAGAGACTTTTGAAAATTTGAAAAGTGCCGAGAACAAGTTTTAAAAATAACTCAAAAAAAGTGTCCATATATTAACATAGGATCGAGGTGGATCATACTTAGAGGAAGGAGGAAAAATGTAAGATTGTTTTACTACTCACTCCATCTGAAACAACATAATGATATGATGTGTTTTTCATAACTAATTAAGTATTTCTGATTGTTCACATAAAAATTATATTTATCTTTCGTTTTTTAATAAAAATGTTGTGATCTTATCAAAATGAATGATTAATCTATATCTTCATGTGAGGGATAACTTCGTGGTAGATTTTCTTGTTTATTAGAAATATAAAATATAATGGTATACATTATTCAGGGTCTGGTTGAGCCTATTAACTTTTATAATGATGCTTTTGTTACATTAGAAACGTATTAATTATAGAGATTTCCTACGGTAACTTGAAGTAAGGTAACTTGAATTTTTTTACCTGCTATAGCAGGTTTTACAGGTCGTATTACGTAAAATACAATAGGCATTACGTAATGGTTACGTAACATATGATAATCTTACGTAACAGTTGTAAAAGATCATTACGGAAGCCTTACGTAATAGAATGTGTCTTTACGTAATGAGTATTAACCTCGTGTTACGTAAAATGCTAAGTCATTACGGAAGCCTTACGTAACGCTACTGATTTAACTGTTACGTAAGAAATAATTGTCGTTCCGTAACCTTTACGTAATGGAAGGTCTTTTTACGTAATGAGTATTAACTTGCGTTACGTAAAGTGCTAAGTCATTACGGAAGTCTTACGTAACGCTTCCGATTTAATTGTTACGTAAGAAATAACTATAATTCCGTAACCTTTACGTAGTGAATATGTATTTTACGTAACAGTTGTAAAATATCATTACGGAAGCCTTACGTAATAGAAGATTTCTTTACGTAATGAGTATTAACATCGTGTTACGTAAAGAGCTAAGTTATTACGGAAGGCTTACGTAACGTTTCTAATTCAATAAGAATTAAAAAAGGAAATGTTAAAATATGGAAAGACAACTAAATATGAAAAAGGAAAGAAAAAAATAGGAAAAGGTAACTTGGAATGGGTGACCGGCAACTCATGTTGCCATTTATTTTTTTAGTTATTTTTATTTATTTAATCAATGGTTGAAAATAACTTTGATCAATTTTAACGGTTTAGATCTATGCAAGTTACCTAACTTTAAATTACACCCAAGTTATGGTAGGAGATCCCGTTAATTATAATATGGATTAGAGTGGCATTTTGCTCCCTTTTTGTGAAAGAAAAGATGATCGATTTTCAAGGGTTTCTGGTGTGAGTTTTTTTGGGTAATCTCACAACTCTTCGCATCTACCGTTCCCAGCCCCGCCATAAAATGTTGGATAGTGACATGAATTGTTGAATTTGACCGAAAGGCCATGGTCAAGATTGTACACCAAATTGAAACGATGGCGTTTTAGTAGTTGGTTCAATGTAGCCTTCTGTTTTTTTTTTTCTACCCTTTCTTTTTAAATGATGAATACTTTTCAGAACAATATGTTACAAGGTTTTAATTAACATCGGACATCAGGAGGTTCACGAGATTCGAACTCGACAACCAACACATTAGAATTACAACATTGTTATGATATAATTATGCTATAAATATTTTGGACATTGGATTTGGACCCATTATCTGTGTAATTTGAAGATTTAAAATGACATTAGTAAACTATGCGAACAAAATTCTAGTTCTTCTCTTGATTTACTGTACTTCCAGCAAAGATGGTCATGTAGTCAACAAATTTGTAATCAAACGACATTCTGATAACAGTGTGGCTTAATGGTAAAGTACTTTGGATTTTCCAAAATTATGTGACGAAAAATCTTACTTTCCCCAATTTTCATTGTGCTTGCTTAATTTGTTTGTAAAATGTTAGGCCCACTGAGGAACAAGTTTTATGATTATGTATGATTGTTTCAATCTCAATCATTTTTTTTCATTCACACCCATCCCTATTGGCTTTCTTATTTCCTAAGCATCCATACAATAATGTTTGCGTCTTATTAGTTTGTCAGCAATCCTCTGTTTTTTTTCATGAGAATTGTTGTCATGTCACAAATGATTTCTCATAACCGGCCCACCAATATAATTATTCATATGAACTAATCTCTTAATGTACCACCAAAAAGAAGACACATTGGATTCTTCCCTTTAATAATCAGCAAAAAAGGGGGGAAAAGAACAAATAGGGGATTTATTTAACCAGGTAATTATTTATTTAATCCAAAGACTTAATCACCTAAATGTATCTAGGCTACATAGTAAAGAAATTGTAGATTTACGTCTTGGAGTAAGGGCGGCTACTAGAAGAGAATAGATGCTACATCATTTCCCCCTACATGTTTGATGTTTCACATATAAATAAAATAAAGTAGTTAAGAAATTAAATTAATGTACAAACCCGTATGTATCGGTAATGTCACATAATGGTACAATATTTACTAACTATACCGGCTAGAAATGTGACAAAAACACAAATTTCTTTGGTTGTGGTACAGGTTCAGAGCAATAACAAGCTCATACTACAGGGGAGCATTGGGGGCACTAGTGGTATACGACATATCACGGCGAGCAACATTCGACAACGTGGACAAATGGCTGGACGAGCTCCGAGGTTTCAGCAGCCCCGACATGGTCATCGTCCTCGTCGGAAACAAATCCGACGTCGGCCGGCAGCTGAGAGAAGTGAGCGAGGAGGAAGGCAGGAGCCTGGCCGAGCTTCAAGGCCTTTCCTTCATGGAGACCTCCGCCAGGGACAACGTCAACGTCGACTCCGCCTTCCTCGAGATGATCGCCAAGATCCACCTCAGCAACACTTCCCACAAGACTTTGGACACCGACGTCGGCACCAGCAGAGGAGCCTTCTCCGCCGCCGCGGTGGCCCCCGTGTCGTCTCTGCCGATGGGGAGACAAATATTGAGTTTCGACGATCAAGTGAGCGACGACACCAATAGTAAAAAGGGTAGTGGTAATACCAGAAGTTGTTGTTCTTACTAGGAAATCATCGAGTAACCCTGTGTTACCGGCTGTATGTACGTACACAAGAGGTTAGGAAAAGAAAAGGAAACGATTAGTATTCCTTTGTTTCTTAATCATATGCTTGTGATGATGAGTCAGAATTCAAAACGTTTCGTTATTTTTTATACCACTTTTGTAACTTGTTCTTTCGAGATGGAAACTTTTATAATGTTGATGTGATTGCGCTCTCAATTTCTAAATATCAAGACGATTGTTACTCTGATTACACCTCTCCAAATAATGTCGCGACTGAACGAGGTTTGTTTGGTGTTTGAGAAATCTGAGTTAAGTTACTAATACTCTTATGAGAATTCCGTGAGAATTCCCCAACTGTGTATTGCTACATGGAGAAATGAGAACCTTTCGTGGGAGGAGAGCTCTATAAATAGGAGATACAAAGCGAAGATAAAATTTGAGATAGGTGTGCGCCTGTGGGCTGTGATACGTGTTTTTCATAGAATAACTCCTTGTATTTTATCTAAAACATCCTTGTATTTTATTTAAAACATCCCTTCATTTATAGAATAACTCCTTCGTGAAATTGTTTCCATAACTGCATAGTGTCCAGGTGAACTCCAACGTTCTACACTTTTCTCCATGAATTTTTGGTATTCAGCCGCTCTATATCTCACTCTCTCCACTTCTCTCTGCGTGAGTCACACATGTGTTTCAGTTTCCCAGAACTAGGCTAGCAGGGTAGCAATATATTAAACTAGTCCATGAACCACCAGATTTACATTGTGGCTCGCATCATGATTGAACAACTAGTGCACCGCGGCCACTGTGATATTGAATAGAACTGGCAAATTACGACCCAACCCGTTAATCCGACCAGAACTCGTTCAAAAAATAGAAGTTTTTATAACCCACTACGCACTTAGCACTTTGCACGTTTGCGCGACGCGTTCGAAAATTGATTTTTTGGCTATTTAATTAATTTCCGGAATTAATTTTGGATAATTAATTGGATTTAAGTTTTGTGAAACGATGTAACCCTTGAGAAGGGAACTGCCGTTTTCTCAAATCTTATAAGAGACGTTGGCCAGAAGGTTGAGTTCTAACATTCATCTTCTTCTCCTCGTTTTTCCTTCTCCAAAAACACAAACACAGAAGTCAGAAAGGTTGCTGCTTTCAGACTTTGGTTGAAGGGACTCCTGGGGGTGGTTTGCCTAATTCCTACCAGCAACGAAGTAGTGGGGGCAAATAACACTCTAAGGAGAGTGATTAATCACGCCTTCAATCCGGTTTTCTCCATATTGTTTCCCTGACAATCTTAGAGTGTTATATTTTCGTGTGATAATGGATTCTGGAGTGGAGAGCACTTTGAAGGCGTATGCCTCTGATTCCAACAAACTCAATCGGTTTGATGGAACCAATTTCACCCGCTGGCAAGAGAAGATGAAGTTTCTATTGACTGCTTTGAAGATCGTGTACATACTGGATCCTGATTTGGGGCCGCTAGAAGAACCACAAGACACTGACTCTGATGAATTGAAGGCTGAGCGCAAGAAGAGGAGTGATGACATCCTGTTGTGCCGAGGATACATCCTCAATTCACTCTCTGATCGTCTCTACGATCTGTATTCCCAGTTGGCGACCCCTACTGAGATTTGGACATCTTTGGAGAACCAGTACAAATAAGAGAAACAAGGCGCAGATAAGTTTGTCACATTCCAGTTCTTTAAATTTAGTATGACTGATAAGCGTTCAATTCTGGATCAAGTTCATAAATTCCTAATCTTGGCCTCTAAGTTCACTGCATTGAAGATAACTCTTCCTGAAGCGTTTCTGGTGGGGGCAATTATTGCGAAGTTGCCTCCATCATGGAACAACTATAGGAAGAAATTACTTCATACGTCTGAGGAGTTCACTTTGGAGCAGATTCAGAAGCACCTTAGGATCGAGGAGGAAACTCGTATCCGTGACAAGGATCTGAATTCGGAGGCACCATCAAGTTCCAAAGTGAATGTTGTGGAGAGCAAGAAGGGAAAGAAGAGAAAGGCCATGAATAATTCCAACACCCAGACCAACAACCAGAAGAATAAAAAGAAAAAGCCGTCCCCTATGTCCACTAAGAATTGTTTCAATTGTGGGCAATTGGGACATATTGTTCGCTTCTATCCTAATCCAAAGAAGAACCAGAATGAAGGGGCTGCAAGTGCAAATGTGATTGAGAAAGTTGAGCCTAGTGAGATTGTTGCAATGATTTCTGACTTACATGTGAGTATGATTCAGGAATTGCACATGGCTGGAGTCATGACCAGTGCTGATTGGTGTTATGATTCGGGGGCAAACTGCTCACATTTGCAACAAGAGAGCCATGTTCAAGGACTACACAGAGTCAACGGAGGGACACGAGGTTCTGTTGGCTGATCATCGCACGATCAAGGTTCTTGGATCTGGAACCGTGGAGCTTTTCTTCACTTCGGGAAAGAAAGTTGTTCTCACCAATGTCCTTCACGTTCCTGATGTTAGAAAGAACTTGGGTTCTGGTTTCATGCTTTGTAAGAAGGGGATAAAGGTTGTGATAGAATCTGATAGGGTGATTCTGACCAAGGCTGGTATGTTTGTTGGGAAGGGCTATGTTAGTGATGGTATGTTTAAGCTAAGTATTGACAATGGTAATATTAATAATAAAGTTGATGGTTCTGCTTATATCGATGTGCATGCAAATTATAGTATAGAAAGTAATTCATTTGATTTATGGCATAATCGATTGGGGCATGTTAACTTTAAAACTCAGAAATATATGTCTAGGAATGGTTTAGTAATTTGTAGCGATGACAGTGGAGATAAATGTGAAATCTGTGTGCAAGCTAAGATGAAGAGAAAGCCATTTCCTAAGTTGGTTGACAGAAAATCAGAATTGTTAGAATTAGTACATTCTGATATTTGTGAATTTCATGGTTAATTAACTAGAGGAGGATGTAGGTACTTCATTACTTTCATATGATAGTACTCGATTTACCTATGTCTATTTAATGCGAACCAAGGATGAAGCCTTTGATAAGTTTAAGTTGTATAAATCTGTTGTTGAAACTCAAAAGGGTAGGAAAATATAGATCCTTCGAAGTGACAGAGGGGGAGAGTATTTTCCAAATAACTTTAATGAGTTTTGTGAGCAACATGGTATAATACATCAAAGGACTGCTCCTTACACCCCACAACAGAATGGAGTAGCAGAGAGAAAAAATGGAGTTCTTTCTGACATGATTAATGCTATGTTGATGAATGCTAGTGCTCCAAACAATTTGTGGGGTGAGGCTTTGCTAACAGCCTGCCATGTACACAATAGGATTCCGTCTAAGAAGCTAAGGGAATCTCCCTATGAGTTGTGGAAGGGAAGGAAACCGACTTGAGTTATCTTAGAGTTTGGGGCTGTCTTGCTTTCTACCGAGTCCCAGATCCTAAGAGAACTAAGTTAGGACCACAAGCTTTGAAAGGTGTTTTTCTTGGATATGCAGAAAACTCAAAAGCCTATAGGGTTCTAGATTTAGAATCTAATGTGGTTGTGGAATCGAAAGATGTTGAGTTCTTTGAGAACAAGTTTCGACGTGACTCTGCAAATGTAGAACCATGTCGAGTTACTTCTGTAGATTCCTCAAATGAGTCTATCTCTGCTCCCGCTTTTGACATTGGTTATAGTAGCAAAAGGCCTTTAGATGACCCTGCTGCTAATGAACCACGAAGAAGTCAAAGGGCTCGAAAGGAAAAGAGTTTTGGTCCAGAATTTATTGATCCTCAAGATATATTCTTTCTTGTAGAGGGAGATAGGTTAAATAAGGTTACAAGAAAGATACCCATTTTGTTCCATGTGCAAGACGATCCCAAAACCTATCAAGAAGCAATGGCTTCTAGAGATTCTGCCTTTTGGGATGAGGCTGTTAATGACGAGATGGATTCGTTATTAAAAAATAAGACTTGGGTTCTTGTGGATTTGCCTCCTGGATCTAAGGCTATTGGATGCAAGTGGGTATTTCGCATTAAGTATAACACGGATGGATCAATACATACCTTCAAAGCTAGATTGGTGGCAAAAGGGTTTAGGCTAAAGGAAGGAGTAGATTGCTTCGACACCTATGCACCAGTTGCAAGAATTACTTCCATAAGAGTGCTTTTAGCTTTGGCTTCTATTTACAATTTGCATGTACACCAAATGGATGTAAAGACGGAATTCTTAAATGGTGAGTTAGATGAAGAAGTGTATATGGAGCAACCAGAAGGGTTCGTGTTGCCTGGAAATGAAGGAAAGGTGTGTAAATTGCAAAAGTCATTGTATGGACTTAAGCAAGCACCTAAACAATGGCATGAGAAATTTGATTATGTTGTTTTGGCTCATGGATTTTCTCATAACTCCGCTAATAAGTGCATTTATTCAAAGTGCACAAAAGAGTACATGGTCATTATATGCCTTTATGTTGATGATATGTTGATAATAGGAACTAACATGAAAGGTATAAATGAGACCAAAGAGTATCTAACTTCCTGCTTCCAAATGAAAGATCTTGGAGAAGTAGATACTATATTGGGCATCAAAGTAAAGAAACATAGTGGGGGGTTTTGCTTTGAGTCAGTCACATTATATCGAGAAGATGCTCAAGAAATTCGAGCATTTGGATATAAAGGAGGCTAACACCCCTTATGATGCATCTTTTAAGCTTTGTGCGAATGAGGGAAGAGCAGTGGCACAAGTTGAGTATTCTAGTGCTATTGGAAGTTTGATGTATGCAATGGGGTGTACTAGGCCTGATATTGCATTTGCGGTGGGCAAACTTTCTAGATTCACTAGTAATCCTAGTGCCGATCATTGGAGAGCTATAGGAAGAGTCTTTGGTTATTTGAAAAGAACCAAAGATTTGGGACTCTTCTATAACAACTTCCCCGCTGTACTAGAAGCATTTTCTGATGCTAGTTGGATCACGAGCGCTAGTGATAATAAATCCACAACAGGATGGATTTTTACACTAGGTAGTGGAGTTGTTTCTTGGGCTTCGAAGAAACAAACATGTATTACACACTCCACTATGGAAGCCGAATTTCTAGCCCTTGCGGCGGCTGGAAAAGAAGCAGAATGGCTAAGGAATATGTTGTTAGATATAGAGTTGTGGCCACAACCGATGCCAGCCATTTCTGTATTCTGTGATAGTGAGGCTACGTTGTCTAGAGCTTATAACAAGATTTACAACGGTAAGTCTAGACACATTAGCCT